CTTTGGACGTGGTATTTTGACTACCGAGGAGAGAAAAACTTAAAAAGAAAATCTTTAACCTGATTTAGTAGCTTTCTTGTTTGTTAGGGGGATTGGTTTTGTAATTCTGAAACTACTCCATGTGTTTTACAGTGTGGAGCAAATGGAAAAATATGTGGATGCTGGGAACAGGATTTCTTACTGTGAGAGGAAGGAGACTGAGGCAAAGTGCAGAAGAATCCTGAGGTGTTGTTTTGAATTAGTGTGAGCTCGTGACTTAAAAGAGATAAAGCATATTCCACAGCTCTACTTTCTGGAAGAGCCTAGAGGCACTCATACCCCACTGAACACACCTAAGATGTATCTCTTAGTGCCAAAGAGCCACTCTCCACAGAAGACAACCAGAAATCCTTACAAAAGTGGTTGACTTCGGGTCTGGGGCAGAGACAGTACCAGGACAGCCTAGAATATTTTGTTGTGCCACAAGCAAGGAAGAGCCAGCTTGAAGGGACTCCCACTAGCCATATATGAGACAATTTGAGCCTTAACAAGAATAATCACCGTAATAGATTTTAATACATTGAGTCAAAAAATGACCTATGAGTCAACAGGGATACTAAAAATGAGGAGGAAGGATGAGGAGAGAAAAGCTCTTTCATAAAAATGAATGTGAATTAATATGTGTAGGGGGAATGCTGGATGTAAAAAGCACCCTTTTGTAAATATCAGTGTAATAACTGACTCAGGTGAGGATTATCAAGAAGCATGAAAACCATTAGGTCAAAAGTTCTTGGGGAACAGGATACTCAAGGACCTCAAAGTATCACTGCACAGGTTAGGTAACTTACAAAGAGAAAAGGGGCTGCATTTACAGTGGAGGGACTGGGTGGTCCCCATTTTATCTAAGGGGCCAAATGCAGCATCACCAGTAGAGGGGCTCCCTGACATTATGCACCTCTTGACATGATACAGTGAGAAATACACATCACCAACCCACATACCATTTTTGCCAAACATACCTGGTATTCTGGTTGGCCACACAAAGTCAGGTTTAACATTACTGGAGATGTGCATGTGGACTGTCTCTTTGATAATTTTAAAATTAATGCTAAATACCTTAGCTGTCCTATGGTGTTGTGGTTATGGAGAAGAATGTCCTTATTCTGAGGTCATGTCATGTGCGCTAAAGAATTTAGGGGTCAGGTGTCATCATTTCTGCCTCTCACTTTCAAATGGTTAAAAATATTATGTTTATACATGATTTTTCCATATCAAATACGTCATACACATGTAGTGTGTATGTATGTATGCATATATATATGTATGTGTGTGTGTGTGTATATATATATATATATATATATATATATATATAAACTAGATAGCAAGGTGTTCATAAATGCTGAATCTAGGTGAAGGGTTTATAGGTCGTCTTTGTACAATTCTTTCAATTTCTCTATGGTTTTGAAACAGTGCAAAGTCAAGTCTTGGGTACGAGTCCTTGTATATAACACGCCTGCCTATCAGTGCCTGGCACAGAGGGTACTCAGTGGTAGCCAAAACGAGACTTTCATCAGCTTTGTCTTCGTCTCTCAAGACCTCATGGATTCCATTTCACAATCCAGGATGTGGTCTGGTTGAAGGCAGAGAAGTAACCACCCAGTGAGTGAGTCGTGTTGTCGAATGAGACATTTGTGAAGAAAAGGGGAAAAAAAAAATCAAGACCCCATTTAGTCTCTTATTCACAACTGCCTCCCAGATGAAGCAACAGGGCCTCAGTGGCCATGAGCTTCTCTCACCAGTGTTGGATTACTTCATAGGCCCTCAAAGGCATGGGGGCCATGAAAATACAAATTCTGCACAGTCCCCAGAAGACAATTTTGTAGCACAGACGAAAGCAGCATGAGTCCAGTCAGCTCAATCTGCAAGGTTGCTCCTTGGTTTCCCGAAGGGGGTTTCAGTTAATGGACCAGAGCTGAGCTCCATCCCCAGCTTGACCTTGAGGTAAATGAGTTCCCAGCAAACAGAGATGGTGCCCTCCCCTCTGCAGGAGAAATGGAACCTAACCCTGCCATGCAGAGGGGGCTGTGCTCCTCCGAGACCTTCCTGCAGCCCGGTGGTTCCAGAGGCGGGGCCTCAGGACAGCTACAAGACCGAGGCCTGGTGTCTTGCAGGTTGTTGTTTTCAATATGATAATGTCCGCACATCTCAGTAGAGCAGAAATTGATGTTTTATTAATGGTGTTTCAGTAAAATTTGATTTCAAAGCATTTCTGCTCTCAATTTGTTTTGATAGAGGCATTGTGATTTTTTTTTTTCCTGGTGACGAGAAGGAGAAAGCGAGACGTTGAGACATGCCTTAAAAATGGGACTTGGGATTTGCTGTTGCAGATGTAAGTAATTCACAAAAAGAAGCCCAAGGAGGGCAGAAAATCTTGACAAAAAAATGCCCTGAGCTGTCCCCGGGCCAAACCCTCTTGCTCATCTTCTGCGTCCTGAATTTTCACGCTGGTTCTCAACAACGGCTCCTCCTTGTCTAAGAACCAGGTTCCCCATGAACATTCGTCACTAAACCACTCTTTCTGCCCCAACCCTACTTCTCAGAGGAGGCAATGACCATGCCACCACTCCCTGAAAGTCTATGTCATATTTTCCACCACCAGTTGGAGCGGATGTCTATAGCCCTCAAGAGATGGGTGGGTGGCTTCTGGGTTAATTGTGCTAGAGGACCCTTTGTTAAGAATTTTTTTTTCTGGATTCAGTGCACATGTAGTAGCTACATTTAATGAAATGTACCACCTGAGGGGTGTTATTCCGATGTTTCTATCTGCCACATTTTTTAAATGAGCGTAACAACCTGTAACGTAGGTACTATTATCATCTCCACTTTACAGAGGAGGAACGGAGGCACTGAGAGGTTAAGCAACTTGCCCCAGGCGTATCTGGCCCCAGAGGCTGCCTTCTCAGACAGTGCATTATTTTAACCTGCTGGAGGATGGGGCCGCACATTTCTGAAACAAAGGAGCCAGACCTAGGGAGAGCTCTGGCACCTTCATCAGAAGTCAAATCCAGGGCTGCATCTCCTGGGCTGCAGAAGGACGCCAACGTGAGCTGCTTGATCTGCATTGGAGGCCAGATAGGAACGGGTTTATAACAAGCAGAGCCCTCAGCTCTTCTGGAGAAGGTGATCTGGGGGAGAGCTGTACCCACAGAAGACTGAGCTCCACAGCCAGACAGGAAGATGCGGGACAGGATGCCAGAGGCTGAGTCCCCACTGCGGCTGCTGCTCCCTAGAAGCACGGCCTGCAGGGGCAGCAAAGAGAGTGGCCGCGAGGCTGAATTTAAAGGGGATCGGGAAGGGCCTTGCATGAAGCCAGACTCTGTCAAACTTCCAGTTCTAAGGTGGGACAGGGCGGGAATGAGAATTAGGGGACAAGGTGAGAAGAGGCTGGAACTCCATCTTCTATCTCCTTACAGGACTTTGCAGCTGAGGATGTTGGTCTGGACCCCATCCAAGGACTTGCTTATGTGAAACAAGAGCACTAGGCAGGACTGCCACAGAAGGGGCTTGGCTCTGAGTCAAGTGTGAGGATTTGCCTCACGTGCTGACAAGGACAGAGCTCTACCCAGGCCCCTTCTGATCACTTTTATACCATTTTGTGCCCTTCGACTTTTTGTCTGCATGTGCAGAGAGCAAAAAGCTCCTGAGGATGTACTTCCCAACCCTCCCTTCCCATTTCAGGCCTAACCATTGGCTGGGTGCTCCCTTCCCAGATTCGGAACGAGACTGATACATAAGCTGCCCTACGGAGTCCTCCTGCAGGCCCGGATCACAGCCCTCCTTTGCAGGATTTGGCCTCAAGTTGTCCCTGGGCTTCCTCCTCTTCCCAGTCCTGATTCCCTACTCCCTTCCCAGTCCCCCAGGGAAAACTTCTTCATCAATCATTTGTGCATCAACCCACACCTCAGAGTCTGATTCCAGGGAACTAACTAAAGACACCACAAAGCCAGAAGCAGTCTGCATGGAGGAAAAACCGAAACACGGCCATAGAGAAGTGTTTCTTAGATAAGTCCCAGATCCAGCAAGTTTTGTCCTCCCATAAATAGGACAACTGCTGAGGGAACCTGAGAAGGAACACCCAAATTGGCTTAGGACACTCAGGGAAAGCTTCCTGGAGGAAGCAGCATTTGAGCAAAGACTTGAAAGGTTACTAAGAGTCTGTCCCACAGATGTAGAGGGAGAGGTCGTCCAAGGAGAAACAGAAGGGCCTGGGCAAGGACATAAGGGTGGAAAACGTGAAATGTTCTAGGAAGTGCACATGGTTCTCCATTCCCGGAGTCTTGATTTAAGAGGCACTTTGGAAGCAAACTCATCAGAATCTTGTGGGAGTGGAGGGGGGGGATAGGGGTAGGAGAAATGAAGGCACCCAGTCTGACTTCAGATCTTTATCTTGACTTAGCAGGTGCAGTTCACTGAGATGAGGAACACAGGGAGAGACAGCAGAATAGAAGAGGAGATGAGTTCATTTTAGGGTATTTTTTTGAGATGCCGGTAGGATATTACGGTGAATATTCAGGTCTGGGTGAATTCAGTGCATGTGCTAAGCTCTTTGTGTGTGTTTTCTGATTCTAATTCTTACAGAATCCAGAGCTGTCTAACTCCCAAACTCAACACACTTAAACAATATGATCGATACATATCTTCTCTTTTGGGAGGCATTGATGTGGTTAAACATTGGGCATAGCATGTGTATTAAGTGAGGAGAGGGATGTGGGTATACAAGAGTCAAACTTGAGCCTGTGTCTGTGGCAGAGTTGCCACTGTTCAAGGGCACAGCGCTCCCTGGAGTTGTGCACTGCACAGTCTGAGTGGTGCTTTATGGAAGATCTTAGAAAAGATGCAGGTGTACCGAGGAGGATATGGAAGATGCAGGAAAAATAAAACCTCATAACCGACAGGCGTGGCCCCCTGAGCAGGTCCGACATTCCCCATTCCCAAGGGAGCAGCTTCCCCACCTCACTCACCATCCTCCTCCGTCTGCACCACCAGCTCCTCGCTCTCCATCCGGCCCTCGGGGTTGGACAGCAGCAGCCGCAGCCGGATGGTCATGAAGGGCCTCAGGCCCCGCAGGGTGTAGTGGGAGGAGGTCTGAATGACCTCCTCGGCCTCGTACTGCTGCTGGTTGAACACGTACTGGTACTGCACTGTGAGGTTGTAGCTGTGACAGCGGGTCACTGCGTAGCCAAAGGGCTCCCACTGCAGGGTCAGCTGCCGGGCTCGGATGTCCACGATCTCCACATTCTGCGGGCCGTGCACCGGGTCTGCAAGACACACACGCAAGACACGGGGCTCTGAGGAGACTGTCAGGAAGGTGGGCGGGGTGTTCTACTCAACAGGGGACGAGAACTCTTCACCTGTATCTCAGTCATGCAGCCGCTGCCCTCTCGATGTCACCATGCACAGTATAACTCGACATTGTTCTGTAAATCAGACTCCTTCTTATTTAAACACAGGCATCTAAAACCAAGCATAACTATATAAAGGGGAACCCTGCATTACTTGCTATAAATAAATGTTAACCATTAAAAAAATGCCAAATTATCAATTTTTCAAGGTTCTTCAGGGTGCCACCAAAAATCATCTTGGGCACCACCAACAACCCACACAACACTTTGGGGAAATACTAATTTAGGAGGTGGCTGGAGTTCTGGATCTGCCTCTTTACATTAATCTGGCCACATCCTCTCCCCTGGAGAAATCAGTCCCCTCTCAGCAGTTAACAGCACTGTTAATCAGACCAAGCCGCACCCTCAACACACAGCCTCCATCTGTGTCCAGGTCCACATGGTCACTGGGACCCGTCGATAGTGACTTGGAATTTTCCTCCCTTTCAGTGACAACACAACTCACCCTTTCTTCACCTCCCAAGACAGCCCTCAATCCTTCCTTCTCTCCTCTCCACTTTTTTCCCAACAGGCCCCTCCAAGACATCACTCTTAGGCAGATCTGACCAGGCCTTCTCATCCCCCTGCTGTCCCCACGCCGCCCCTTCCTGCTGATCTTGGTCCCAGACCTTCACCCATAACATCGGTTATGTTTACTTTATTATGAATATTCTATTTATATTTCACACACATTAAATAGATGCTTTTGTACAAAACAGATTATAACAAACAAAACTTTATTTTTTTAATCCCCATATGTAAAGCTCATTCTATAAAGGTTTGGCATTTCTTACGATAGAAAACATAACTTCTTTTATGACTGGCATTCCCCACAAGTTCTTCTGTCAAAATTCTCTCAGCTGGAGCTCGCACCGGCTCCTAAGCCCTGTGAAGAAACCCGGCCCTCTAATGCCTTGTGTTTGAAGTTTGTTTGTTCGTTGAGGGAGAGGAGGATACACGAACCATTCCTGATAGGGGCTGGACAGGGCTTATGGCGGGGGGCCAGGAATATTGGGGAGAAAAAAATCTGATCATTCCTCAGTGCTGCCCATTTCTGTCCTGTGTCCTGCTTAGCTAGACAGCAGGAGAACAAAGCACACTGAGAACCATAATGAAAACAAAACAAACAAACAAACAAACAAAAGATTCTCTTAGCTGGGAGCAGTGAAGCACAGGCTAGAGATTAAAGCAGTGTACCCCCCCCCCCACGCTACCTATGGGACTTTACCGAGTTATATTACCTCTTTGGGTCCATTTTATATTTCATTTGTAAAATGGAGATAATGGTAGTAGCTAACTCCATAGTGGGGGTTGGGAAGCGTTTAATGAGATGTCTGTAAAGCAGTTAGAATTGTACGGCATTTAAGCACTCACTATTTCACAGTTTTTCTTTTGCAGTAATAGGAAGAGTAGTAAAAATAATAATAAGCCTTCATGTGCTGTATCTACCCTGAACGCCTTGTAAGTGGCAGCACTGGGGTAGCATCCTTATGCAAAATGATGGAGTCTATCTATCACTTTTCTGGTCCCCTCAGAACATTCCGGGGTAAGGCTGCTTCTGTGCCAAATACAGCAATAAAAAGGGAGGACAGTCTTGATCAGCTGAGTCCCCTGATCTGTCCTCGTGGGGGAAACGCCCTGCGGCTCATGTCAGAGCCTTACCGAGGAACTCACTTGGAAGTGGTCCTCTTTGGAGAAGGATGCCTAGAAATAAATGCCAGGGAGCCTAGCGAGCCAGCCCAGACCTCTCACGTGATGTCAGGGAGAGCAGGCTCCCGCTCGTCCCGCTCAACTAACGAGTTCACGGTCACTCGTCCAGCCCAATTTACTCGTGTTCACAGGTCCCTGGTGTAAAGGAGAGCCATTGTCCCAAACGCAAATGGATGACATTGAAGGAGAGCCGCTGTGGGTCCACTGTGAGGAGCCCACGTGGCGTGAAGTGAGAAGTGCTGTCCTCGTAGCCGGGGAGTGAGGACCTGGCGTGGCTCTGCAGCTGCTGCTGGCTTAACAGCTGACGACGGCATGAGGACGAGGGCTCAGGCAAAGGGGCCGCAAGACGCTGCCTGCCTGCGAAGTCCCGAGCATCCCCACCAGCTTTGCCCAGCAGGAGCCTTTCCGCTTGTCCAAATGCCAGAACTCTCCTGGGAGGGAGACTGTCCACCCGGCCCAGGACCTCATCCATCCTCCTCTTCTGATGTGCCTTCAAAACTGATGCTGAGCTCCATCCCGTAAGATCGCTTTCATGCTTTCTTGCCTCATCTTATTAGAGAGTGAGAATAGAAACGGGAACATCTGAGATCCATTTAATTCCAAGACTATGACCCTATTTTGTCAAACATCTTAAGATGTACTACACAGTCCATGTTAAATATACATTTGGGAATCTCCAATCAGCCCTTAAAGCACCAACGAAACAATAAAAACAAAATGACCTGATGGCCGACAGCTACAGTATTGGGTTCTATCACCTGTACCATCTTGTGACCCTGTAAGGGAGGACTGACTGCCAACCCCACTCTACAGATGAATAAACTGAGGCCAGAGAGGTTCAGGAACTCGTATAGAGTAGCAAGACTAGCAAGAGGCAAGTTCCGTGTGACATTAAAAAAAAAAAAACTTGGCCACGCACACTAGAATGTAAGCTCTTTGGGAGCAAGGGTGCCCTCTGCTCATCCCTCCAGCCCAACCCCAGCCCCGGGGAAGGTCACATGCATCAGTGGAACACATGCGCTTTTTGTAAAATCTCACCATAAACAGTGAGGAAAGCATCACTAGCCTCGTCCTAGAGGAAACCAAAGTTCTGTGAGATTAAATGATTGGTACAGCTAAGATCTGGAGTCTGCAGGACCAGTGCCTCTGTGTTTTCTCTGCACGGTGATACCATGAGGGACTAAGACCAAGGAAAGGACATAACCGTGAGGCATGTCACAGCCATCAGGAATCGGGGGAGACCTGGGGAGAATGTTGTGAGAAAGCTGAAAACTGTAAGGCAGAAATGGCTTGATCCTCAGGACCCTGGGGTCGGCTGGAGAGGGTGACATGAGGACCTCATCACTTTAGGTGCTAAGCTGACCACTGGCCTGTCTTCCCACCCCTGGTCTCCAGCCACTACAGTATTCCCCCCCATGGTGGACCTGTGAAGATGTGCACATAAACACCTTTCTGCTGCTCTTCAAGGAAGGAGCAGACAAAGGTACCTTTCAAAGAAGGCAAAGGATGTTGCAAACCTGCCACAGAGCAAAGAGACTCCCTCCCAGAGCGGGAAGTTTGGGGCACAGGAGAAGTCACTTGCTCCCTCTGAAGCAGGTGTGACTGACTGTCATCAGACAGGCCACAGGGAATAGTGGGGCCCGGCAGAGCATGACTTGAAGCCGGACTCAGCACTCACCAGCTGTGTGACCTTGGGCAAGGACACTTCATCTCTGAGCCTCCATTTCCTCGTCTAGAAAGTGGAAATTATTGTACTAACCTCAGAGGGCTGCTAATGAGTTTTACAGGAACTATAGAGAGAGAAAACTGCCTCTGCCTAACAGGGGCCATTCCTCTTAGAGGGAATGGCCCTTCTTGGAGAAGTGCCTTAAGAAGCTTGTTTGGAGTAGAAGCAGCATTCCCAGCTCCTTGGGATCAGCTGTGCTCAGACTTTAGAGGAAGAGAAAAGTGAATTCACTGGCTGCTGGACAGAGTAGGAGAGGAGGGGGAAAAAGATGGTGGGATGTTTGGTGGAACCCAATGGAACTGTTCTCATGTGACTCCTAGTCTTGAACAAAGTCCTAAAAATACCACAAAACAATGGACTGTGATTAAATTTCCTGTGCATTCGGAGAGCCAAATGCCTCACTTGGGCCAAATAAGATGCCACACGGGAACAAAAGGACCAGAGGCAAAGGGGACTTGGAAAATATGTCCACGTGTGTTACTGACATCTTGAGAGATGATCTGGGGGTTTCTCAGGCTGTGGAATTTAGAGATTCAAAAAAATCTCAGTTCTTGTGCAAAAGACAAGAACACCTCTGGTAGCCCTGCAGGTTAGATATGTGAGGGGGCAAGTGTTCTGTAAAGTCAAGAACTCCCATTCAAGAGAGGAAAAGACAGTGGCTACTTATTAAGCAGCAACTATGGGCTGGGCAGTTGCATGCTAAAAATGACAGTCTAGCCTAGGGAATTGAGGCCAATGAAGGGACAGGACTTGCTCAGGGCCACACAGCCAAGCCCCCAGCTCTGGACTCCCACGGCACTTGGCACAGCTGTCCCGCCAGCCCAGTTAGCACCTGTCATGCTCTCTAAGAACTGCTGGCTCATTTATCCACCACTCCTCTCGGGCTGAAAGGGACCATGCTCTGTCCAGCAATCTCAGCACATGGCACTGGGTCTGTCAAGGGGCCAGTTTATGTTGCTTAAACTGACGTGAACAGATGGTGACCTGTTCTTGAGAACTGAGCTTGGACCCCCTGACTCCACAGTCCCCTGTTCCGTCCCTTCCAGCACGTCACCAAGTCTTTAAGATGAACTTCTTTATTTTTCCACTCAAGCGAGAGAATGTCTTGAAATCCTACATGATGGAATTAGTTTTCAAAAGCATGATGGAAGCACTTACACTTCCAGTCTGACCCCCGCGTGGCCCCCACCCTCAGAGGCTAAACCCAGCTTCTGCTGCAGCAGTTACCTACAGCAGAGAGAATCTCAGGTTTACATTCTGGATGGTACAAACGAGCTGGAAATTGCTGAGAAAGCCTTGTGGGTGCAGTGGAGAATGGCTTGTTGAATTTACATCCCCCATGTAAATATGTTCAAGCCTAGAGCCTATGGTTTCTGCCTCCAGGTAAGGGTTCCGTCCACACGACCTTTTTGAGTAACAGCTTACAGGCCACCGAGATGGC